TTTGTTTTTGCTTACCGTAATGATCAGTGTCCTGTGTTCAACGGCTGAACCCGTTTTACATATTTATGCAGTTCTTTGTACACCGGCAAGACATTTTTGTCATGTCCTGACAATGCTGTCATGCCGGCATGCGCTTGCTGCAGATTACGCCTGGGGCTTTAAGAAGGGAATGTCATCACTGTGACCACAAAAACGCCTGCGGTTGGCGCAGCAGTTCTTGTTGGTTAACCTACACAGATAAGCTACACGATGCTTCGGGGTTAATCCTCTTGCACTTGTAGTCAGGCAGGCATTCGCTGACGCAAGGCGCCCCCGATGGCCAATTGACAACGCATTACCAATATATAGGGTGGTTTTGGCCTTGACCATTTACTGCATCCGTGTTTGTAGAAATGTGTGCGCTTTTATGTGCAGATGAAAACACGCGATGCCTAAAAACACTGCGTTTCTGCCATACGAAAAGGACTACACTCAGGGATCTCCACCGAAGTGACCACAGCGAGACTAGATGTTCGCCAACCGTTCGTGAACTGTGTGAACGAATTACTCTCCGTTTTTGTTCATGTGTTTCCTTTTTCGACATATCGGCCAGTCGGCCAGCCGTTCGTGAACAGTCCGTGTTTACTCCTTAGTTGAATTTAGGGGTCAGCAGCCCTGCTTTATAGTTTATCCGCTCGCACACTCACAGAAAAACCAGCCTGAACGTGGAGCACTGTAAATATAGCCGATATTTGTTTTATAACGTCGTTTAACCAGTACCTCCTGGTGTAGCAAAGATCGATAACTCGTCGTGAAAACTCACAACTGAAAAGCGCCAAAAAAAGGATCTGAAGGTCTTCCTTGCCTATACCAAATACCACTGATGTGCTGTGAGCAATTTGTGTTTTCAAACAAAGGTGTGCTCCGCTTCCTTGAGAGAACACTACGATAGTCTTTAAGTTTTTCTTTATTTTCCGATCTTCATCGATACTTGCGATAGCTGTGTTTGTGGTTGGTGGAGACATTTTACACATTTGTGTTAACACGGGAGGATGAGAATGAATGCGTTAAGAATGCTTCACTTTTCGTGTCTTTAAACTAAAATGCGGCGGGAAACTCATATCTGGAGTGGGTGATGATCACGGAGAAATGAGTCCGATACCAGCGGGGTTTTTACAGCCCCGCTTCTCTCTGTGCAATTATGGACGAGTGATATTCTGGTCAGATTGTGAAGAAAGCAGCATCGACCGGCTCCCGGTCCATTGCTGACCTTAGTGTGGGTAATGTTGTTGACACCGCTGAATACTTTGTTGGCGTCGTATTTACCCACACGTTGGAGTTCGTTTTTTATTTTGATCTGCGCTGGCAGCCACGATCTGACACCAGTCATTATCCTTATCCTCACACTCATGCCAGACATCATCACAATGCGCTGCTTCAGAGTGCATTATGGTGGACAAGCAATCAGAACGGGAGCGCCTGCGGACTGGAGACGACTCTATGAACGCTTATGAGAGACGTTTCAGGTCAAGGCGCAGGCTGTCGGAAGGTGTGTGAGCTGTACGCGGTTCTTTAGCCGGTAGCGGCTGATGCTCGCCTCGAGTGGGTAATCAGTCCTTTATTTGCATCACGGTTGATGCTGTCTGAGAGATGTGCGACGCGGCTGGATTTCCAGGTCTGAATCAAGCAGCAATAGGGCGCATGTTTGACGTTACAGTTGAACGGGCTGGCTCCAGGAAATCAAATCGGTAAAATCTGAGATGCGGTTGTATCTCGGCTTTAGGTTGCCTTGAGCAGAATGGTTATACATTGACACCACATCGGTTGACAGCGTTGATATCATATTGGCGTGATATTTGCAAAGGCGAAAACTGGACAGTATGGATTAAAGAAAAATGCGTTATCGCCAAATACATTGCGTTTTGTTAATGCCTTTCCTTTGATGTTTTACCAAGCCAATTCAACACATGATTGCACAAGTTAAGTTCGTAAAATGTGATAGGTGGCTGGAAAGCACAACGACGTCCTTCATTTTCTCTTGCAACCGACTTGGTTGTGCTAAGCATGCAGTAGCTTGACGGGAGGACTGGGGCGGGTGCGAAGCTGACACCCGACATCACCCTCTTGTCTTCAGCCCGTTTTGACGCTGTCCTGTCCGGAGTGGCCCGTTTGACCCCCCCCCCCCCCCCACCCACCCCCCACCCCCCCCCCCACCCCATTGCGATCTCGGGAAGAATTAATCGCAGGGAGTCTGGAATGGGCTCAAACGACTTCTCCGTCGTTTACCTGCGATATCAGACAATCTTATGGCGGTATGCATTGCAATATCTGTGAAAAGCTGGCAGGTGCAAGTTCATGCTCCCCATTTTGAATACCGTTTGGAGATTAGAGTGCTCAAAGCATTTAATTTATTCAATCTTAATGGCGGGGACTATCACTGCGGAGCATTCAAATAAATAAATATCTAAGGATTGAGTGGAGCGCCGGAGGTTTCATGAAGTCGACATCTATTCACCTCACACGATGCACAATACACACACACACGAGTCATAATGCACACGCTCATCATCAATAAACGTGCATATGTTTATGTTTCTGGGGTGTACGCAGACTCTGAACATGGGAGAACTGATCTCTCAAAAAACGTGTCCTTGAATTCTCCCCTGGCACTCAAATGTTCATTTTATCTCTTTATTCCACGCAGCACGCAGAGGCCATTTGTGCTGTTCGCTAGCATGACCAGGTTGGAGGACCTGAGAAGACTTGTTCTTTCGGCAGGACCACGCTGCAGATCTTTCGTTCTGTCGGCAAGACCAGACCGTAGACCCTCCGTCCTGCGGGCAGGACCAGCCTGTAGACCCTTCGTTCTGTCAGCAGGACCAGGCTGTAGACCCTTCGTCCTGTCGGCAGGGCCAGACTGTAGACCCTCCTTGCTGTCGGCAGGACTAGACTGTACACCATCCTTGCTGTCGGTAGGATCAGTTCGAGGAGGAGGTAGTCCGCCAGAAGCGGCTAATTGCCGAGCTGCAAGCCTCCGTAGACCAGTCCCGCAGCCTCAGCCTGGAGGAGCGCCGCAAGAGAGCGCTGGCCGCCTTCTCCGTCACTGAGAACATCGCCAGCGAGCGCGAGGGTGAGCGGCAGTGGAGGGAGAGCGAACGGGGAGGGGGGGGGGGTGGGGGGTGAGCGGCCGGGAAGGGTGAGGGTCTGTGGAGCGGCCGGGAAGGGTGAGGGTCTGTGGAGCGGCCGGGAAGGGTGAGGGTCTGTGGAGCGGCTGTGGCTGTGGAGGGTGGGATGAGAGGCTGTCGAGGGTGGCCGGCCGTGGAGGGCAGGTGGCCGTCGAGGGTGAGCGGTCGTCGAGCCGCCATCACGCCGAGCTCCGCCATCAGAGACCGGCCACAATCCAGCTCTGGGAGGCGACAGGTGAAGCAGGTGGGACTCCAGAGGCCACCTGACCTGCCGCGGCCATTCGACGCCGCGTGAGGGGAAGCGGTCCGCGCCGTATTGTGTGATGATAAAGCGGGGCAGCGGTTTTAATCAACCAAATGCACAACAGCGTAGGTGCAGTGCAGTGCCCGGCGAGGATTTGGGCTTTGAAGCCCACATGGCAGGACGTGAAAGATCACTCATTCTTTCTCAAGGACTCAGTAGCACCTGTCAACGGCAGGAGAATGAAAAGGCAAAAAGTCCGTAAACATGCAACACACCAGACGAGGGCGGAAGGGCCAACAGCCATTCTATCGGTGAAGCGAGACCTCGAACTGCATGGTCATGAAGTCCTTCTGTTGCCTCAGATTTGGTGAAGCAGCTGGACCTGCTCCGGAGCATCAACACTAAGCTGATGGACGAGAGGGACTCGGGCCACAGGACATCGAGCGTGACAAAAGCTGAACATGGAGAGAGGTGAGGCCACCGTACACCACCCGAACTGCAAACGAGCCACCCGTGCGCGGACGTTGTCATACCCAGGAGTCTGGCCAATCAGCGTCCGGAGTTCGGCCAATCAGCGTCCGGAGTTCGACCAATCAGCGTCCGGAGTTCGGCCAATCAGCGTCCGGAGTTTGGCCAATCAGCGTCCGGAGTTCGGCTAATCAGCGACCCGAGTTCGGTCAATCAGCGTCCGGACAGCAAAAAAAACTGACATTTTCCTTTGCTGGCAACGGGTAGCTGCTAAAAGTCGAATTTGACGGCCATTGATGGTACTGGTGGCCGGCGAGTGACCATTTTGTCACACATTGAAGGACATGTCATTCAGCCTCAGTCTTCAATGTGGTCGTACCAGCGCGCACGGGGATTGTGAACTAGGAGACGCTAGACAACAGGAGATCGTAACCTGGCGCTCAGCGGAGTCCGAGGGTGACTGAGTGGCTCGCATCCCCTCCTTTTAGCTACACATGTTCGCTATGTTCGCATCCGTCAGCTGCAATGTCAGCGTCAGGGAGTCAACGTCAGAGGGTCAGCGTCAGGGAGGCAGGGGGTCAGCGTCGGTGAGGCGGGGGTCAGCGTCAGGGAGTCAGGGAGTCGGCGTCAGTGAGGCGGGGGGTCAGCGTCAGGGAGTCAGGGAGTCAGCGTCAGAGGGTCTGCGTCAGGGAGGCAGGGGGTCAGCGTCGGTGAGGCTGGGGTCAACGTCAGGGGCAGGGGGTCAGCGTCAGTGACGCGGGGGTCAGCGTCATTGAGGCAGGGGTCAGCGTCAGGGAGTCAGGGAGTCAGCGTCAGAGGGTCGGCGTCAGTGAGGCGGGGGGTCAGCGTCAGTGAGGCAGGGGGTCAGCGTCAGGGAGTCAGGGAGTCAGCGTCATAGGGTCGGTGTCAGGGAGGCAGGGGGTCAGCGTTAGTGAGGCGGGGTCAACGTCAGGGGGCATGGGGTCAGCGTCAGTGAGGCGGGGGGTCAGCGTCAGTGAGGCGGGAGGTCAGTGTCAGCGAGGCAGGAGGCTAGCGTCAGGGATTCTAATGTTGTAAGCAGAAGGAAAAACTTATGGTGAGTAGTTAATGTCTTTGGCAGCGGTAGGTCACCGAATGAATTTTTCCGGAAATATCAGTGCCATGAAGCACAAAGTTTCACAACATGGCGCCTGCTGCTGTTTCGTATTTGTTTGACCGGCACCATCGAACGTATCCTTATGCGAGTTGCCCCGTGGGGTTTTGGTCGCCGTTTCAGCATGGCGAGTAGGCACCGATATCGCCGATGATATAGCCGGAACTGCGCTTTCTTTAGCCCTGAGCACAAACACCGGTCCGCCCCTGGATCTCTGACGCTGAATGACGTGGCATCGCACCCGACGCGTAAAAGCCGCGGGTGAAACGTGCAGAACTGGTAATTTAGCGGCACGAGCATACGCCGCGGTGCGCAGATCGGTCATGACCGGCGGGGCTCAACTGAGGGCTCTCGGCAGAGGGTTCATCCGGCACTGGGCGTCCATATCATGGCATCGCCACTGGGTGTCCATATCACGACATCGTCACTGAGCGTCCATATCATGGCATCGCCACTGGGCGTCCATATCATGACATCGCCACTGGGCGTCCATATCATGACATCGTCACTGAGCGTCCATATCATGGCATCGCCGCTGGGCGTCCATACCACGACATCTTCACTGAGCGTCCATATCATGGCATCGCCACTGGGCGTCCATATCACGACATCGACACTGGGCTTCCATATCATGACAACGCCACTGGACGTCCATATCATGGCATCGCCAGTGGGCGTCCATATCATGACATCGTCACTGAGCGTCCATATCATGGCATCGCCGCTGGGCGTCCATATCACGACATCGTCACTGAGCGTCCATATCATGGCATCGCCACTGGGCGTCCATATCACGACATCGTCACTGGGCGTCCATATCATGACATCGTCACTCGGCGTCCATATCATGGCATCGCCGCTGGGCGTCCATATCACGACATCGTCGCTGAGCGTCCGTATCATGGCATCGCCACTGGGCGTCCATATCACGACATCGTCACTGGGCGTCCATATCATGACAACGCCACTGGGCGTCCATATCATGGCATCGCCGCTGGGGGTCCATATCACGACATCGTCATTGAGCGTCCATATCATGGCATCGCCACTGGGCGTCCATATCATGGCATCGCCGCTGGGCGTCCATATCACGACATCGTCACTGAGCGTCCATATCATGGCATCGTCACTGGGCGTCCATATCACGACATCGCCACTGGGCGTCCATATCATGACATCGTCACTGAGCGTCCATATCGTGGCATCGCCACTTGGCGTCCATATCATGGCATCGCTGCTGGGCGTCCATATCACGACATCGTCACCGAGCGTCCATATCATGGCATCGCCACTGGGCGTCCATATCACGACATCGTCACTGGGCGTCCATATCATGACATTGTCACTCGGCGTCCATATCATGGCATCGCCGTTGGGCGCCTATATCACGACATCGTCGCTGAGCGTCCATATCATGGCATCGCCACTGGGCGTCCATATCACGACATCGTCACTGGGCGTCCATATCATGACAACGCCACTGGGCGTCCATATCATGGCATCGCCGCTGGGGGTCCATATCACGACATCGTCACTGAGCGTCCATATCATGGCATCGCCACTGGGCGTCCATATCATGGCATTGCCGCTGGGCGTCCATATCACGACATCGTCACTGAGCGTCCATATCATGGCATCGCCACTGGGCGTCCATATCACGACATCGCCACTGGGCGTCCATATCATGACATCGTCACTGAGCGTCCATATCATGGCATCGCCACTTGGCGTCCATATCATGGCATCGCCGCTGGGCGTCCATATCACGACATCGTCACTGGGCGTCCATATCATGGCATCGCCACTGAGCGTCCATATCACGACATCGCCATTGGGCGTCCATATCATGACAACGTCACTGAGCGTCCATATCATGACATCGCTACTGGGCGTTCATATCATGGCATCGTCACTGGGCGTCCATATCATGACATGCCACTTGGCGTCCATATCATGGCATCGCCACTAGGCGTCCATATCATGACATCGTCACTGGGCGCCCATATTATGACATCGCACCCCTGACACCACTGGGTGTCTGTGTCATGACATCGCGCCCCTGACACCACTGGGCGTCCGACCGAAGCGCTATTTGGCTGAGAATGCTGAGGACGACACTGGCCTTTGAGCTGATACTCCCCTGAGCCGTTGGCGCATTGAGAGCATCCGAGTGACATATCCGATGCTACGAGCTGTTCCCCAAGCCGCGAGAACGGAGAACCAAACCAAAGGTCGAGAGATGTGTTTTTACTCAGGCTGCCATTTGCGACATGAAACCACGCTAGTTGGTTTGGTAATTTTAGAACATTAATCATAGGTGGCGAAGCGGTGGAAAGGTCGGAGGGAGAGGCGGGGTATAGGCTACCTCGTGAGGGACGGGGTGTGGGCGACCTCGTGACGGGTGGGGTGTGGCTAACCTCGGGAAGGGCGGGGTGTGGGCGTGGGTTACCTCGTGAGGGACAGGGTGTGGGTCACCTCGTGAGGGACAGGGTGTGGATCACCTCGTGAGGGACAGGGTGTGGATCACCTCGTGAGGGACAGGGTGTGGATCACCTCGTGAGGGACAGGGTGTGGATCACCTCGTGAGGGACAGGGTGTGGATCACCTCGTGAGGGACAGGGTGTGGATCACCTCGTGAGGGATTGGGTGTGGATCACCTCGTGAGGGACAGGGTGTGGATCACCTCGTGAGGGACAGGGTGTGGATCACCTCGTGAGGGACAGGGTGTGGATCACCTCGTGAGGGATTGGGTGTGGGTCACCTCGTGAGGGACAGGGTGTGGGTCACCTCTTGAGGGACAGGGTGTGGGTCACCTCGTGAGGGACAGGGTGTGGGTCACCTCGTGAGGGACAGGGTGTGGGTCACCTCGTGAGGGACAGGGTGTGGATCACCTCGTGAGGGACAGGGTGTGGGTCACCTCGTGAGGGACAGGGTGTGGGTCACCTCGTGAGGGACAGGGTGTGGATCACCTCGTGAGGGACAGGGTGTGGATCACCTCTTGAGGGACTGGGTGTGGGTCACCTCGTGAGGGATAGGGTGTGGATCACCTCGTGAGGGACAGGGTGTGGATCACCTCGTGAGGGACAGGGTGTGGATCACCTCTTGAGGGACAGGGTGTGGGTCACCTCGTGAGGGACAGGGTGTGGATCACCTCGTGAGGGACAGGGTGTGGGTCACCTCGTGAGGGACAGGGTGTGGGTCACCTCTTGAGGGACAGGGTGTGGGTCACCTCGTGAGGGACAGGGTGTGGGTCACCTCGTGAGGGATAGGGTGTGGATCACCTCGTGAGGGACAGGGTGTGGATCACCTCGTGAGGGACAGGGTGTGGATCACCTCTTGAGGGACAGGGTGTGGGTCACCTCGTGAGGGACAGGGTGTGGATCACCTCTTGAGGGACAGGGTGTGGATCACCTCTCGAGGGACAGGGTGTGGGTCACCTCGTTTATATTGATACGCTGTCCGGATGCGTGTTGTGGTTTCCCGAAGCTGGCGTTCTGCTAACCCGACAATAGTCGCTCGACTTCTGCGAACGGAAGCGTGGTGATCGCAATCCGAAAAGACAAGGGCGTTGTCATGTGTACTCTTGCTATTTTCACTGTTGATGTTTGTTGCAGCCTATCGGAAAGTCTCAGCGTTGAAGATCGGTACAGAGAGGCGGAGGCTCACACTGCTGTTTCTGGACTGATGTCATCAGGATCAAACCAGGCCAAGTAGGTCTTCAGATGTCCTCTCGTCCGACAAGGCACCGATCCAAGGACCTTTAATGCATGTTGGCAATCCCAAGCCTATGAAGAAGCCGCACCAGCGTACACAAATGACACTAATCATCATTTCTGAATAGGCGATATGTATGTGTGTGCGTGTATGCATGTATCTGTATGTGTGTGTATGTGTGTGCGTGCGTGCGTGCGTGTGTGTGTGTGTGTGTGTGTGTGTGTGTGTGTGTGTGTGTGTGTGTGTGTGTGTGTGTGTGTGTGTGTGTGTGTGTGTGTGTGTGTGTGTGTGTGTGTGTGTGTGTGTGTGTGCGTGCGAGTGCGCGCTCGCGACAGGTACACAGATGGGGGTGCGTATGTGTTTGTTTTCCCATGCTCACGCATGCTGTCTCATGTGTTATTTTGCATACGTTTGCATGTGTGTGCACGTCTACCCGATCACTACGCGCGTGCTTGAACATGTTATTGTGCGTGCTCGTCTGCACGTGCGCACTCACTGGCGCGCAAGGTCGTTTGCGCTCAGTTGTGGTCACGTGGGGGTCGTAAGTGAGTTACCTGTCTCAAATGCGATGGTACCCCAGCTTTAAAAGATCGAATCGTATGATGAGTGAAAGTTTCTTTAATGTCTTTGAACCCCATGAAAAGTGACATTTTCTGTGTGATATGCTATGGTGAGTACCTCGTAAATCTACTTTGGCAACAAAGCAATTTGTCAATATTTACCTTTCGCCCGACTGTCTTGGACTTCAGACCGCCGGCAAAAGTGGAAAAAAGAAAGAAAGAGAAAGCTGTTCACGTAGGTTTGCGTAGTAAATTGATTCCATTCAGACCGTTAAAAAGCATGACAATCTAAAGAGTGGAAGCCATCTGACCTTCACATCTATTGCCCTTATCGCGTCTCCAATTAGAAACTGCGAGTCCTCTGGAAGTCCATCTTGGAGTACCCTGCAGGTCCATCTGGAAGTCCTCTGCCGCCGAGGCTCGTCCCGTACTCCGGGACCGCTCGCCGACATTGCGTGGAGGCTCGAACGGGCCTCCTGCTAGGGGGGTCACTTAGCCCGCTCCTGGCTAACCCCTGCACCCTGCCCCGGAGAGAGCCGTTGCTGAGATTTGGCATGGAGTGGCATGCAACAGCAAATTCTTTGCAGTGAAAAAATTCAAATTGCAGACCTTCAGGAGGGACATTTTGAGCGACTTTATGTCTACGATTTCAGCGCACAAACCAGCCCGGACGGGACAGCATCGAGCCGGATATTAGGACTGGATCCAAGCGGGCCGGAAAAACTTGGACAGTTCCAGCGATTCTCTCGGACGGGATCAGGCTGGGCTGGGCTGGACTGGGCTGGGAAAGGATAAAAAGACGAGGGAATGGGAGGCGAATCCGCCGCGACCGTGACGAGCATCCTTCAACAATTGCCACACTGCGGGGAAGCATGCGACCTCGCCCCGACCCCGCTATGGTTAAACAACATACTATCCTGACTAATATGCTAATTTGCTATGCTAGTTAATGACCTAGGCTGATTGGTCAATGACGTCACCAGCTTTCAAATACATGCACAAGGTATGCCTCCATCGACGACTGCACGCAAATCGCGGGCACTCCTCACGTGGACGAAATATGTCGGCGGGAGGATAATCAAGATCACAAAGTTATCAATAAATGCATGTAGACATCGATATCATGACATGATTTTTGAACGTCACCCTATTCGGTCCATGCACCTGCTAACATCGAAATTATCGTTATTTGCATGATTATAATCATCACCTTATCGTAGCCATCGTCATCGCCATCTTCATCACCATCGCCATCGCCATCGTCATCGTCATCGTCATCGTCATCGTCATCGTCATCGTCATCGCCATTGTCATCTCCATCATCATCGTCATCGTTGTCGTTGTCATCATCCTCAACGGCAGCAGCGGCAGCAGCAGCAGCAGCAGCAGCAGCAACAGCATCATCATCATCATTACTATCATTGTCACAGCTATTTCTTATTTACTGTACCTGTGTTAACTTCCGCTACTACATTGCATGCTTCCAAATCCTAGGAGTTACTGACGTCTGCTTGATCGGCTGACGCCCAGCACTGCACCCTCAAAGCGACTTTGTTCGTCGCCGGCAGGAGCCTCCAGGTGCCGGTCAACAAGGCGGACATGCAGGAGTCCGACTGTGAGGTGGACGAGGTCTTCTTCGAGGTGAGTGACGATACCTGAAAGTCAGAAGACACCCACGGCATCCATGGCGAAAAACAGCCCGTTCAACAATGATCTCCTGCTGCTAAGTGAGGTCACACCAAGTCACAAGGTCACCAAGGCACCAGGAAAGGTCACGTGAGAGGACTGGCGAAGTGCCTCAAAATATTGTGTGACCCACCTGTACTAAATCAGCTACCTAACGTAACGCATTTTAGGAATCAACGTCCATGGCCTCGGTCACAGTGTCTTAACTGATCACGTGACTCAAAATGGTGGAAAATCCCTGCACAATACAGGTTTGGACATTGACCTTAGCAACGTCCCTCACGAAATTCTAGACTATTAGTCCGAGCTCTGCAGGGCCCCAATGCTGTTTTTGCCCCGTGGCTTCTGATGTCTCAGGCCACCTCACACGACAGCTTTGTTTGTACTGCGATGTCCTGGGCCACCTCACATGACAGCTGTGTTTGTATTGCGATGTCCAGGGCCACCTCACACGACAGCTTTGTTTGTACTGCGATGTCTTAGGCCACCTCACAGAACAGTTTTGTTTATACTGCAATGTCCTAGGCCACCTCACACGACAGCTTTGTTTGTATTGCGATGTCCAGGGCCACCTCACATGACAGCTTTGTTTGTACTGTGATGTCTTAGGCCACCTCACACGACAGCTGTGTTTGTATTGCGATGTCCAGGGCCACCGCACGTGAGCTTTGTTTGTACTGCGATGTCCTAGGCCACCTCACACGACAGCTGTGTTTGTATTGCGATGTCCTAGGCCACCTCACACGACAGCTGTGTTTGTATTGCGATGTCCTAGGCCACATCACACGACAGCTGTGTTTGTCTTTCACGACCAGGGCGATCAGGGCTGTGGCATTCGTTGGGTGTGTCAGAGGCGGTCAGAGTCCCTGTGGTGGCCAGGGTGGAACGACAAAAAAAGACCCAAGTGCGCTAAGCAGTAACATTTAATGATTTTCAAGCCGCCAACATGTGGACTAAATCCAAAGCCTATTTGTATCGCTATCTTCAGGTATCCGTTGCGCACTGATCTTGATTCGATGTGGCATATAAAGTGCTGCCGACATGTTAGACGTTATGGTTTTTCTAAAGTGCCCTGTTCCCTTCAACTAAGTAATAGTTTGAATAATGATATTAAGTCAGTAATAATTTGTACTCCGGCTATCGGCACGGAGCCATCGGGACCTAAGTGATATCTCCGCCGCAGAACCACTCGTTATTTATAAACCGACCGCCTGAGATCTCAGCGGTAAAACAGCACCCGAGGTGGCGGAGTAGCCCTACTTCCACCGCCAGCCGTGCTCCCACCGCCAGCCCTGCTCCCACCGCCAGCCCTGCTCCCACCGCCATGCCTTCCCCCGTCCCACCGCCAGCCCTGTTCCCACCGCCAGCCCTCCTCCCATCCCACCGCCAGCCCTGCTCCCACCGCCAGCCGTGCTCCCACCGCCAGCCCTGCTCCCACCGCCATCCCTCCTCCCCATCCCCCACCGGTCTGCTCCCACCGCCAGCCGTGCTCCCACGCCAGCCCTGCTCCCAGCGCCGGCCCCGCTCCACAACCATTCCCAGCGTGCTCCACCAGCCCCTGCTCCCACCGCCAGCCCTGCTCCACCGCAAGCCCTGCTCCCACCGCCGGCCCTGCTCCCACCGCCAGCACTGCTCCCACCACCATTCCCAGCCGTGCTCCACCAGCCCTGCTCCCACCGCCAGCCCTGCTCCCACCGCCAGCCCTGCTCCCACCGCCGGCCCTGCTCCCACCGCCGGCCCTGCTCCCACCGCCGGCCCTGCTCCCACCGCCGGCCCTGCTCCCACCGCCGGCCCTGCTCCCACCGCCGGCCCTGCTCCCACCGCCGGCCCTGCTCCCACCGCCGGCCCTGCTCCCACTGCCAGTCCTGCTCCCACCGCCAGCCCTGCTCCCACCGCCGGCCCTGCTCCCACCGCCGGCCCTGCTCCCACCGCCAGCCCTGCTCCCACCGCCGGCCCTGCTCCCACCGCCGGCCCTGCTCCCACTGCCAGCCCTGCTCCCACCGCCAGCCCTGCTCCCACCGCCGGCCCTGCTCCCACCGCCAGCCCTGCCCCCAGCGCCGGCCCTCCTCCCACCGCCGGCCTGCTCCCAGCCCGGCCCTGCTCCCACCGCCAGCCCTGCTCCCACCACCAGCCCTGCTCCCACCACCAGCCCTCCTCCCATCCCACCGCCAGCCCTGCTCCCACTGCCAGCCCTGCTCCCACCGCCAGCCCTGCTCCCACCACCATTCCCAGCCATACTCCGCCACAAGTGACTGCTGACCTGACTCGGTCTCTCCGTCACATAACGCATGTGACCCTCTCTAACCGCTCCACAGCAGACCGGCGACCTGACACGCGACCTCTGGCCGCAGAACAACCCAGACGTGGTGCAGCGGGTGCCGGTGATGCCGCTCTCCGCCGGCTTCAAGGGTCCGCTGCGCCTGGCCGGCGGCAACTCCTCGCTGATGGACGAGCTGATGGAGGGCGAGGACGTGGCGAAGCCGTTGCCGGTACAGCGGCAGCGTCCCAACGACGCAGGGTCCGAGACCGACGACCAGTACTTGGTGGACCGGCACCACAAACGGTAACCAGTGCTTGGTGGGCCCGCACCACAAACGGTAACCGGTGCTTGGTGGACCGGCAACACAAACGGTAAGCAGTGCTTGGCTGCCGGCACCACAAGCGGTAACCAGTGCGTGGTGACCGGCACCACAAATGGTAACCAGTGCTTGGTGGACCGGCACCGCAAATAGTATCCAGTACTCAGTGGACCCACACAACAAGCGGTAACCACTGTTTTTTGGTACACTTGGCATTCTGAATATTATGCCGATGCTTTTGGAAACCGGTGATGGCATAAAAAAGCTGGCTCAGACCTCAAGTCCACCCATGGAAAGCTGGCTCGGACCTCAAGTCCACCCATGGAAAGCTGACTCGGACCTCAAGTCCACCCACGGAAAGCTGACTCGGACCTCAAGTCCACCCATGGAATGCTGGCTCGGACCTCAAGTCCACCCATGGAAAGCTGGCTCGGACCTCAAGTCCACCCACGGAAAGCTGGCTCGGACCTCAAGTCCACCCATGGAATGCTGGCTCGGACCTCAAGTCCACCCATGGAATGCTGGCTCGGACCTCAAGTCCACCCATGGAAAGCTGGCTCGGACCTCAAGTCCACCCACGGAAAGCTGGCTCGGACCTCAAGTCCACCCATGGAATGCTGGCTCGGACCTCAAGTCCACCCATGGAAAGCTGGCTCGGACCTCAAGTCCACCCATGGAAAGCTGGCTCGGACCTCAAGTCCACCCATGGAAAGCTGGCTCGGACCTCAAGTCAGCCATGGAACAGTTCCAGCCATGGAACCCACAAATGTCTGCCAAAAGAAAGACATCCCGCCCTTTGAAAAAAATGCGATATGGTTAGTTCCAGAGCGCATTGAATAAAACGACAAATACAGCAAGTATGGATTACATCTAACCCTACCAAATATACAACGAATAAGGGTAAAAGGAGAGGGCTTGTAATGAGATTATCTCAGTTGAAAACACGTATCAACATCAGTACGTTCCATTGAGGTGCTCCGCCTGCATTATTATAATTTCATTGAATTAGCTTGGTTGTATCACTTTCATTCCTTTGAGTTATCTAGGCTGTATCATTGTCATTCCTTTGAGTTACCCAGATTGTATTATTGTCGTTTCCTTGAGTTACCCCGGTTGTATCATTATCGTTCCCCTAGTTGCCCGGCTGCATCGTTATTGTTTCCTCTAGTTGCCCTGGCTGTATCATTATCGTTTCCTTTAGTTGTCCGGCTGTATCGTTATCGTTTCCATTAGTCGTCCCGGTTGGATCATTATTTCCGTGGTTGCCTGATCCGTGGCCTATTAGCCGAGGCCCCAGTAATAACTACCGTAACTTCTCTACGAGCCTCTGGAGAGCGCTTCCTTGCCCATGTCTCAGGTTGCAGCGGGGCCGGCGCAAGGATCTGGGTTTGTTTTGGGCGTTTTTTTAAATAACAAGCCGTGGCGTACACCCGTTTGTAAGCACAGATAAAATTAAGTTGCGTTGTGCCTCAAGTTGTGCCTCTCACTCAAATGATTATTTATGCACCCAAAGCGTGCTTTCAAGGCTCTAAGGCATAGTTAAGTGAGCCGGCTGCAATGACGTGTCAAAATCAACAAGCGTTTCGTTGATCTGTTCTGCTTCGGTCGCACGCGCTGAGTTGCCTATGAAACATTGACCAAGAAACGTACGGTACTTGCTTGGCCGCGGACGGAGTGAACATGCTTGGCCTACACCACCTCGTTAGGAACAATAAGCTCCGTAATCCAAAGTTGGTGGCGGCCCAGCTAATTTTCTGGTTTGCGGCTTGGCGACCCGAGTTCGGCAATTGACAGCTTTTTATAAACAATGTTTTGTCATCTGTTCGCTAATGACCACATTGTAGAAAACAAGAATTAGTTTTCGTTTAGAGTGTGAAGTGAAAAGTGTATTCTCCACCATTCAAAACATCATGAAACAAAATTACATTTATTCCAAGATCTCCCGAACAGCATATCTTAACAGATTTGCCAAAACTTTGGTAAGTTTCCATAAGCCTGCCGAATGTCGGGAAATTTCGTTGTGTGTTGACAGATCGCGGTAGCGAAATGGTTCCTTTGGTAGCATCTCGCTCGCTTGCAACATTAGTAACTCATGCAAATTAGCGGTCAGAAATCGTAACACCTGGCTGGAATTGGCTCTCCCCTCCCCCCCCCCCCCCTCGGACATAAATAGCTGGTTGGTTTTCTCTTCGTGCCGCACTTTTTATTGAATCTGAATACTTCCCCATTTTGTCTAGTTTTTTTTTCTGATCGCGTAAAGGTGTCTGCGCCAGCGTTGTCATCACATGTAATAGTCTAAATGTGGCTTAACAAAACAAAAGCAAAAAAAAAACAACTGAAAACATAAGACGAACGTTACAAATATAGCGCTTCTAGGCCAGATAGTAATTGTGGCCGAATAGTGAACGGAGTGAATTTATGCAACCCAAGTCCACAGTTTAAATCAATGAACATGCATTTCAACAGCACTTCAACTTAAAGTCGGTCGGCTAGGCTAGGCTAGGCTAGCCGTTCCCTGCGGCTACCCTACCGATCGGCGGCTAGCCGCCTATGTATATTGAAATGCCCAATGTCTGAAGCATGACCGCCTGGAAATATACGAAAGGCGTAGTACCAAAACTCTAAAACTGTTGCCCACCGCAGTGTGGATAGATTACGGAGTGCACGCTGGCACGAAGTAAGCGGTAGGCTCAACTGGTAACCTATCTCAGTGAAATAATAGCCGCCTCTTGGATAGGGAAAATAAACGGGCAAAGAAAATAACCCAGAAATAATCAAGATCGCAAAGCCGGCCATGCACAGAACACTCGTCCCATGCACAGAGCACTCGTCCCCTGCGTCCCGGCCGGAAGGTCATGTACAGAGCACTCGTCCCATGCGTCTCGGCCGGAAGGTCATGTACAGAGCACTCGTCCCATGCGTCCCGGCCGGAAGGCCATGTACAGAGCACTCGTCCCATGCGTCCCGGCCGGAAAACTAGGGCTGGGTCGACCGGAGGCAGATGGCATTTACCACCCACCCATGCGAATCGGGAATCCAAATTTGAGTTTGAGTGTGAGGCCCGACAATCCGTTTTTGTTCTTCTTTTTTTGCAAACTTGGTCGCACCTTTCCTGAGATTTGAGCGACCGCCGGCACAGCGCTGTGCAGATTCTAACATGGGGCTTGTGCTCTGACACGCTGTAAAAGTCGTCCACCCAGGCCACCCCGTCTAATTTAAACACACTCAATGGATCTTGCTGTCTTTTACCTCAACGAACGTTCTACACCAAACCTCTTTAAGTCAAAAATGCATAGATTAGATTTTCTTCAGGGTTCAGAAATATGCCGCTTTTCTAATGTGGGTCATCTTAGTTATAGGAGAGGAACGGAAGAGGGAGGGGGGGGGGGGGGGTACGGGACGGTCGACCCACTATTTCTGCTCTTGTCAATAGACCAGCTGGAGTATTTACCCAACCATTATACAGTAATAGAGATCTGCGTATGATATGATAGTTATGGAGATCCATTATACTTTATACATTATACAGCTATAGAGATCCAATGTGCAGTTTTTTAGAAATGTGGTGAACAAAGAGGAGTGAATCAGTAATCAGCGCGGTTATGACTGCACAGCTTATACTGACCCTATCATCGGCTAGTCCAACCTTGGTCGCCTGTGAGTTCATAACCAGAATGACTCCAGACCTTATCAAATGGACAACTGCTTAGAAGCAATCAATGACCGCTATTTGATTTGCGCCTCCCTACCAATATTGTTTGTGTATGCGCCTAGGAATGCAATTTCTTATTTCCCAGCAAATGCGGTGACGTGTGCACCTGCTCAATGGAGAAGAATGTGATCAACATTTCACGCGAATGGTTATGTGGTCTTCACCACCTCATATTACGTGTCTTGGAAAACGTCTTTCATTACTTAACTTCACCTTTTGCTCGACCCTTCATAACATAGTTTGTACCAATAATCCAAAACAGCTGCCAGTCAATGATAAACACAGCACTGTCTTACTTTGCAAGCGAAGCGAACGAAAATGACGACACCAGGATGACGGCATTTCTGCGGAAATAAATGCATACACTTCCCGGGGTGTGCATCCTGCCACCAATCTTGATGTCATTTTCATATCAGAGGGGACTTGCCTTAGCAGATCTGGATAAAGCTCTTAAAATATGAAGTCATAAGTTCAAGCTGTCAATCATGTATGGCCCCAATAAGCTGATGTCAAACCTCCGTGTATACAGTTAGGGATGTATACTGCACAGGAGGAATGTGATCAACTATTCATGCGGGATCATGAGGTCTCCGCCACCTCATATTACATTTTTTTGAAAATGCCTTTCATCACTTACCTTCATCTATTCCTTGACCATTGGTCTCCAAGTGAAAAGAAAACATGCGTTTTAGATGTTCAGGTGCGTCCATACCTGACGACGGCATAAAAGCTTAAGCACGCGTCCGCCAAACTTTCACTAGAACATTTAAATTGGAGTAAATCCTTGCACCCAAAAAGTGTCCGATCAGTTGTACCATCTTGTTTTAAAAGGATGAATTAGGGACACAAAACAGATTCGTTTGAGTGTAATGGAATTCACATACTTACGGTAGGCGATGAAGATGCTAAGTTAGGCAACATGCTCAGCATTCTAGAGCGGCTCATACCTTATCCCGCATCAGCAACGGTCGTAAGCTGTGTACAGGGCAGGGGCCTGAGCTAGAGACCTGACAAGGTAGCCCTTTCCCACAGGTGCATTTATCAATGGATCCAGAGCGCACAAAAAAATATTGGGTTACAAGTTAGGGTCTGGTCGTTATAAAAGTCCACAATCTCACATCATTGCACGGCATTGCAAGAGCTTAGAATTCCACCCTGGTGAGCAAAGCAAGGTGGCAAACGTTGAGAAATTAACTTAGAAAGTTAACGAAATAGGTACGGGAGCGTGCTTGGCAAGAAGGATCCAAAACAAGCCTTTTGACCTTCCAAGTG